CTGTAGTGAACCCCATTGTTCAAGCTCTGTCTGTCTCTCAATCTGACCTTCTTGGTCAGATCCCAGGTGAGAGTGACCGACTCCTTCCAGCAGCCAACTCTTATCTCCCATCCAAGACCTTCCAAGTCCTTTGTTTCCAAGCTGGGAAATACAGCTCAGTTTTCCTGCTGTGGGGTAGGGAATCTCTCTCCCTGTGATTTGTTGTTTGCTAGGTGTCAGTGTCCTCATGTTTGGGTGTTCTGTTTTCTTCTTGGATTCTCCATTGATATGGGGTCAACTTCAGCTAGTACTTTTTAATGGCCCATCCCAGCTCAGACAGCTAACTGACATCCATACCTATCTCTCTTAGCCTGCCCTGAGAACAAACAGTCCTTTTCTACCCATTGGGTAACAATGCAACATATAGGGGAAATTGAGGCACTCACAAGTGTCATAAAAATATTACATAAAATTTCCACTTTGTCACAGCCTCACCCCAAGAGGCCCAGGAGGCAACATCCTCAGCATTAATGTTATTCCAGTTTCTGGGCCTCCTTATCAACCTCAAAGAAACCCCATACCATCTCCAGTTCAGAGAATAGGCTTTATAGGAACTGCTCTAGACTCCACAACAGCAAGAACCTGCCTACCCTAGGAGAGATTCTTCACCCTAATCTCAACATTACAGTGCAGACTGCAAACAACAGTGAGGACTTGCCTATTATTTTGGGCCACATTTCGTGTGACTCTCCATGTGAAGATGCCCCTCAGATGCCTCCAAACATGAGTAAAAACAGCATATACTCCAAACAAACAGCCTATCCAAACATCACTATGCAGTATGATATACTTGCCAACACTTTCTTTGTGCCATACAAGGTCTCTTAGTCAAAGTAATGCTAGACAACAAGACAGCAATGTATTATATCAACTGACAAGGCAGAGCAAGTCCCCAGGCCTTATGTGCAGAGCTGCTAAAGCTGTGGAACTGGTGCATCGCTCATTAGATAGAAATGTCAGCAATTTATCTACCAGGCTTCCAGAGTACAACTGCAGACTCCCTGAGCAGACACTTTTGGCAGGATCACAAATGGGATCTCAAGGACTCTGTCTTCTACAGCATCTGCCAGACCTAGAGTATACTGGGGTAGACCTCTTTGATACACTGAACAATGCAAAATGTCACCTGTTCTGCTCTAAGGGAGGTCACAGTCATGGTTCTCTAGGGGGATGCCCTGGTAACACCATGGCCCACTACCCTTCTTTATGCCTACCCACCTATACCATTAATCCTCAAGAGCCTTCTCAAGCTGCATCGAGAAGGAGTGAGAGTTATTATCATAGCACCTGCTTGGCTGAGGCAAGTGTGGTACTCAAACTTCATCCACTACTCAGAGGTAACACCCCTCAGAATTCCTATCACAAAGGATTTGTTGATACAGAGTTCAGGGTCCCTTGTTCATCCCAAGTCCTCCTCCCTGAATCTGAGAGCATGGCTCGTCAGTAGCTCTCAAGCATGGAATTGACCTTTTTCCCCCCATCCAGTAGAAAGCCCAGTACTCCCAAGACTTACCTACAAAAGTGGAAGTGCTGGTGGTCCTTCCCACCTTGAAACCTATGGGGAACCATCCTCCATCTCTCCTTCAGAATTTCTTTTCTAATTGCCAACACCTCAGCGAAGTGAATGAGGGAACTGGGGTGCTTATGGCGGACCTCCCATACACCACCTTATACAAAAACAAGGTTATATTACCTCTCCATCCTCATTTTCTCCCAAAGGTCTCCTCAGAACATAACATTAACCAGGAAATTCACCTACCAGTTTTCTGCCCAAAACCTCATGCCTCCAGAGAAAAATCAAGCCTTCATTCTTTGGATGTCAGGAAGGCCCTTGCCTTGTTTCTGGACAGGACTAAACTATTCCATGCCTCTCTTAGACTGTTTTTGTTGATTGTGGATAGGATGAACAGCCAACCCATTTCCACACAAAGACTATATAAGGGGGTTTCAGGTTGCATCAGGACCTGTTATGAGAATGGAGGGGTACAGCCCTCTCATGGAGTGACAGTAAATTCTACTAGAGATCAGTCTCCATCTATAGCTCTACTGAAAGACATTCCCATAGCAGAGATTTGTTAGTCTTCGTTCTATCCATACCTTGGCCAAACACCATGCCATCTTACCTGCTTCCAGAGATGATACTGCCTTTGGTGATGCAGTCCTTCAAACTGACCTGGACTTACTTCCTCAGCACCCTCTTCCTCATTGAGTTACTGCTTGGGAGTCTCCTATGGTGGAGCCTCCATAGGGACATATACTCAGAGAAGAAGGAGAAGTTACTTATGTTACAGAAACTTTAGTTCTTCAAGATGTTTTATCCCTATGGGTGCTTCACCTCCTGCCCGCCTTCCCTTCTGAACTGTTAGGCTTCGCAGTTCAGAAGGAACTGACTGGCAGCATGCCCAGGCCTCCTTATGTGCCCTGGTTGCAGTCTCTGGTCAAGAGTGCATGGGCATGTGCACCTTCTATGGTGGAGCATCCATAGGGTCAAAACATCTTGAAGAACTCAAGTTACTGTAAGGTAAGTAACATCTCCTTATTTAAGCTAACCTCAGCCATCCCTGGGATCTTATGTAAGACATATCTCTTGTGTCTCTCTCTCTCAGAAAGAAGCTCTGTAGTTGGCATATCTGATACAGAAGCCTGATCTGCTAGTAGCAGCACTGCAACCTACTGTATACAAGTAGTACATGACATTAGCTTCTCAGTCATAGTAGGTTTTGGCCTTTGCAGGTCTCTCTTTTCCTCTTTGTATGTTACTTCTTCCACTGCTGCCAGTTATAGTAATGCTGGGATAATAGGCACCAGGGTACATGTTCGTCTGAACATCAAGCATTGTATTGGGCTGCTGTTAAAGCCTCCTGTGGGAGTGTTTCTCCATTCAAGAATGCCTTGCCCTATATTTTTTTGCTTTCTGCAGCTTTCTTTAATGCCGGATTAGTATTTTTAACTGCCATTTCAGGTTTCCTGTTCAGTTGGCTGTGGTATGGTGATGAAGTGAAATGATATAACTGAATTCCCATTCCTGGGTAAATTGCACAAATGCTGTGCAAGTAAACTGGACTAGTTGTCTGAAACTACACAATTTGGGATACTGTGCCTGCTGAAATGTGAAACGCTTCATGGCTTTGTCTATGATGATGGTCACTGCAGTACTATCTGACAATTTGACTAGTTCCCAGAGGTCTGAGAAGTAGTCTACAGTAACTAGGTAGTTTGTGTGGTTTGCAGTGAAAAAGTCCATTGCCATTTTGTTCCAGGGTCTATTGGGAATGTGCTGTGTATTTTCATTGTATTTTCATGCTTTCCCTGTGCTACTTGGTGAATTATCTTTGTGTTTGCTCCACTTATCCTCTGCAATTTATCGGAAGTTTGTTCACTAGCTTTGCACGCCTGTGGATTGGGCTCTCTGAGCATTCTCATTCCAGTTCCTGCATCTATTGTCCCAATTACTAACCTAGCACAAATTAGATCTTTCAAGATTTAGTAATTTCATGAGTCAGCCATTTTGTACAGTCTGGCAATATATTGATCTATTGTTTCTCCAGATTCTTGATTATCCTTGTTGAGAAGATGTCTTTCGTATGTGACATTTTTGTGGGTTGAAAATGTTTTTGAAGCACTTCTAGGTTGTTTTCAGGGTCCTCCTGCTGTGCTGTTGACATGTCCAGAGGCTGTTGGAGCATGAGGCAGTCTTTCCTAATTACAGCTAATAGTGTGGTTGCTCTTACTTTGTTTTCCTTTTTATCCAGCTCTATTGACATTTTTTTCATAGCTTTCCCCCTGTGATCTAAAAAATATACAGTTGCTAAACATGTTCTATTTCATGTCCATATGCTCAGGGACAGGAATCTGGTACGTTGCCATGATTACTGTTTTCTCTTGGTTTGTTTTGTAATAGTCTTAGATTCTGATTTCACCTATCTGTAGGAGATGACTCACTTCTGACACAATGTTCTATGTGCGAGCATAAAGAGAGAGAGAACCGAGACAGTGCAACATGCAGGCTATACTCCTTTCTCCACATCTACAGTGTTCTCTCATCAGTCGCTTCCTGAAAGTAAAATTCTCTCAGGTCCTAGACACAATCATACAATAGCACCCCAATAGGAAGCTGTTTATCATACCATTAGGGATGTGTCTAGAAGGCACAATTAAGCTCATATTACTTTGGGACACTTGGAGTTGGCTCTAACTTGTGTTATTCTGGCTAGCTGAGGGTGGTTCTAGCTTTATGCCTGTAGTCGAGGATGATATTGGGAAGATCAGAAATGGCTTATGCAGTTCACAGATGATTCAGCCTTGCTTCAGAGTAGCTCAGGCTTCTTCATGTGTTAGAGCTTTAGATGCACGAAAAGCTCAGTAATTTTATCTACTGGGTAGAAATTCTTCAGGTGACACTCATTGAATACCTTTAAATACTCCTTTAATTTTACTTATATTTCCTCCTCAATTTAAGATAGAATCATGTGTGAAGACTGATCAAATTAGTAATCTGTTAAAGCACCATGGTAACTCAGAATTTTCTCACAGGATTGTTGTTTGGTATTATGTAGGGTTTTTAAAGAAATTTCCCTTTTTTAAATCTTAAGGCACTAAGTCTTTTGTTTATTTCATCCCAAAGGAATCTTTACAACAGGTAAAGATAGTTTCAGTGAACAACCCACTAGTATTTCTGAATGCCAAGAAGTTCCATCATGACCTAATAAGGATAATCCAGAAGGATAGTGCAAGCACCCAGCCACATGATGATCTAAACAAGGTAGGTTATACTGCAAGCATTAGTAATGATGAGACTTACTTGCATTTCTCTTGTGCATTCCATCAGAAGATTTCACAGCATTTAATTAGATAATGCAGTAGAAAAATCAGACTATACTATAAATTAGTTGTTTAGCGTGGAATAAAGTTCGAATCTAAACTTCAGGAGATTAAATATATTTAGTTTTTCCTATTATTTTGAAAGAATATCTCTAATATATTTGTTTATGTGATTCAGTGAAAGATGCTAATGCGCCGATCCAAAGTCCACAGGATGCCTTCCATTAATTTTAGTGAACTTTGGATCAGGATTTAAAGGCCTGATTTTCCAAAGAAATCTTCAGCTGTAGTCAGTGGCTGCTGCAGGTGGTCAACATCTCTGGAAATTGAACTCTCAGTTTCCAATTCTCCTCCCGTGCTACTGTAAATCAGGAACAACTCATTTGGAATCAATAGGGAGTTAGGTTGGTAAAACTGTTGAGAATCAGGTCCTAAAGTAATAACTCTGTTTAATTTTCTGCACTGCTAATATTTTTGGGGAAAATAAATAGAGTATTTAAAAAAGTAAATGCATATAACTATGGTTCTAGGGAGTGTTACGAAAGGCACCCTGCTATTCCAATTTACCCACTTATATCTATTCCAATTTTAGGGGAGCGAGAGAGTGTTACTGTTGCTGATGCTTTTTCTTTCATTACTGGGAAGGTACTACAAAACTATAGTGAGAGGAGCCATATAAGTACCTAGGTTGAAAGAAATGCATTTGATTTGTATCTGAAATTAGTTTAGAGGTTCTTTGGTGCAGGGATTTAGTCTTTTCTCTGTACTAGAAAGAGCTTAACACTGGAACTAGCTGACATTTTTTGCAGTTTTTTGTAGAAAATTGGCCTTTTTTTCAAAAGAGAAAACTTTTTGCAAACAATTAGCAACATTGATTTTTTCCATGTTTGTGAAAGTTTCTGATATTTTTGCTGAAATATTTATCATAAATGTTATATATATATATATATCAAAAGTATTATCAACCATTTTTGTTGATCTAAAACTCTTTTTAGTAAATAAAGCGTATTTTTGGTAAATGAAGAATTTAGAAAATGGTTTCAGTAAGAATTGAATTGAAAATATTGCAGATAATTTTACAGAAGATAGTCCATTTTGAACCCTGTGAAATGGAAACAACTTTGAAATACTGAAATTTTTCAAAAAATTATTTTCCTGTCTTTTCACCAGCCCTGTTTAGCATCCTTTGAAGAGTCATTAAAAAAATACATCTGCTGAACCCAGATTCAGGTTGGTGGTTGGCTCAGAAGGTGAAAGCCAGCTGCAATACTAAACAGGTTGAGATAACTGGGAAATGCTTCCTTTAGTCCACAAATACAATGGATCCACAACATTGAGTCACAGAAAGACAATTTTGATATTTTTTCTGGACTCTTAATTCTGTTTCTCAATAAGGAAATTGACAAAGGAGGCATGAGACCTGATTACCCTTCCCCTCGAGTACTTATATTGTTCATTGCTTTTGTTTCAGTGTGAACAGAACACGTTGCTCAATCCAGTATCCAATGGAAATTGTCATGGTGAGTAAGATACAAGTTGAAAGTAAGAGGGGGTTTCAAGTGTGTCAGATGGTTCCAAATTTTCCCATTTATTTGTAAATGAATTTTCATGCCATGGACACACACCAAGTGAAGCACAGAATCATGGCAGTAAGGGACCTTAAGAGATCATCAAATCCAGCCCCCTGCACTGTGGCAGGATCAAGTCAATCTAGACGAGCCCTGGCAAGTGTTTGTCCAACTTGGTTTTTAAGAGCTTCCAATGATGGGGACTCCACAACCACCTTTGGAAGACTATTTCAGAGCTTAACTACCCTTATAGTTAGAAAGATTTTTTCTTAATATCTAACCTAAATCTCCCTTGCTGCAGATTAAGCCCATTGCTTCTTGTCCTCCCTTCAGTGGGTATGGAGGACAATTGATCACCATCCTCTTAATAACTGCCCTTAACATATTGGAAGACTTATCAGGTCCCCCTCAGTCTTCTTTTCTCAAGAATAAACATGATTGGGTTTTTTTAACCTTTCCTCATAGGACAGGTTTTTCTAAACCTTTTTATCATTATTGTTGCTCTCCTCTGGACTCTTTCCAGTTTGTCCACATCTTGCCTAAATTGTGGTGCTCAGAACTGGACACAGTGCTCAAGCTGGGGCCTCACCAGAGCCAAGCAGAATGGGACATATACCTCCTGTGTCTTACATACAACACTCCTGTTAATACACCCCGGAATCTATTAATCTTTTTTGCAGCTGCACACATTGGTGACTCATATTCCGTTTGTGATCCACTATAACCCCCAGATCTTTTTCAGCAGTACTACCACCGAGCCAGTTATTCCCCATTTTGTAGTTGTGCATTTGATTTTCCTTCATAAGGGAAGTACTTTGTACTTGTCTTTATTGAATTTCATCCTGTCAAATTCAGACCAATTCTCCAATTTGTCAAGCCATTTTGACTTGCTTCAAAGAGCTTCCAACCCCTTCCAGCTTGGTGTCACCTGCAGATTTTATAAGCATCCTCTCTACTCCATAATCCAAGTCATTAATGAACTAACATTGCATGAGCACTAACAGTGCCATTTTCCCCACAATACCCTGTCAATCTTCCTTAATTTTGATCTGGAGGTCCCCCTTGTAGAGATGAGAACACCCATTTAGTTCTACACCCACTTAGGTCTTGAGCTCCTTTCTGAGATTGCCAGTAAGGGATCCAGCAGAGATATCTCTTCTCTAGACAGGACTCTGAGGTGTGACTGCAGCACGTGTAGTCATACCTGATCTAACTTTGATCTAGCTAGCTGGAATAACAAGAGCAGTGAGGCTATGACAGCATGGCCTGTAAGAGCCGGCCTGGAGACCTGACTATGTGCTCGAGAGGCTAGCCTGTGCTGCCGCCTGTACTGCTGCGGGTTCACTGCTATTGTGATTCAAGCTGGCTAGATGAAAGCTAGCTGGGGTATGTCTGTGTGCTGCAGTCACACTTCTGATCCAGTGTAGCTATACTCAGTAACTGCCAGCTCATTTCAGAAGAATTCCATGAACCCATCACAGGGTTCCATGAATCCAGTCACAGGGTGATTTAAATTATTACTGCTCTGGTCCAGATTTGATCTAGAGACTTGAATTACTTCAGCCTCTCAACCATAGGCGCCGACTCCAGGGGTGCTCCTGGGCTGGAGCACCCATGGAAAAAAATGGTAGGTGCTCAGCCCTCACTGGTGGGCCGCTCCTCCCCCTTTCCGGCGGGAGGCCCCACCGATCAGCTCTTCCCCCTCCTCCAAGCACCTCCTGCCCCGCGAGGATCAGCTGTTCAGCGGTGTGCCCGAGGTGCTGGGAGGAAGGGGGAGAAGCGGGGGTGGGAGCTGGAAGAGGTGGGGAGAGGCAGGGCTGGACAACGGCAGGGGGACTTCCCCACATGCCAGGGAGTGGAAGGGGCAGGACCAGCCACTTCTGGCCACTGGGACGCTGCTCTGCAGCATGGCAGGCTGACGGCTCCTGAGAAAGCCTGGCTGGGGAGGAGGCAGCTTCCACTCCCTGCCCATGCTTGGGGACCGGGGGCGAACGAGATGGAGTCCTCCTCCCCCCAGCACATTTCTTGCTCACTCAGCCATGGTCCCCAGCAGCCGAGCCCAGGCAGAGAGTGGAAACCACCTCTTTCCCAACCAGGCTCTCTCAGGCAGCTGCCAGGCTGCAGAGCAGCAACTGGGAGGGGCCGACATTAGAAGCAGCTCCCTCCTGCTCCCCGCCTGGGCTCCCTCCTGCCAGGGAGAGCGGCAGAACATGCCGTGGGGGCACGGAGTGTGGGGGGGGGAGGTTGGTGGGTGGAAACATGTGACCTCCCCTTTAGATCGTGCCACCCCAACATAGGGAGGCACCAGTTCTGGGCGTGCTCGGGGAAAGGGGTGGGGTGGGGGCAAGCCGTGGGACAGAGGGTGGGAAGCACCCCTCAGGAAATCAGAAAGTTGGCGCCTATTCTCTCAACTGAAACACAAAAATCAAATGTACAGTGTTTGCTGATAAAATGAGGAAATAAACCCGGCTGCATACCCTGATCATGCAACAAGATCTGCATCAGGTGGGCCCCTTGTGCCTACTCAGAGTTCACTGCAGGATTGGAGCCTTAGTTAGTACAAGACTGAAAAGTACAAAAGGATTAAAACCATGTTAAAACCATTAAAGCCATTTACAATAAAAGCAAAGAAAATGGAGATTGAAATTAACAGTGGTACCTTACTTCAGCATATGGAACAAACTAAAGGTTTGTTTTTATTTAAGACTTAAATGCATAAACCCCTCTCATGCCACACCTCATAAAATGTCAGAACATAGTGCATACATTCATACAGGCTAAGCAAAATTGCAGGTTCTTCTTTATATGGGTGACCTCAAGCATGGAAGGAGTTCAGCTATTACATCTCTTGTAAAAAGCTTGTTACCATTCAGGCTATAGAGGAAAACTTGAATTTGGGCTATTATCTGACTGTTATTAACTATTAACCTTTATTATCTATGTTTATGATGTTTATATTGCATTAGATTCTTTTATTTGGGGCAACTGAGTGCATGGCTATAGCTGTAAAGAACAGCAACGTAAGAACTTCTAGTAAAGACTATAAAGTATTGTATCAGCATTTCCCTAAAAGCTCAGAAACGTCAACCAGTGTGAAGTGCAGATTTCATTTGGCTGAACTGATTCTTCACCGTGTGTAAAATTTGTATCCATGCTGACAGCTAGCATAAGACCTATGTACTTCTTAGATCACACTTAAGCCCTAGTGTGAGGATTTAAGTGGTGCATAGACCTAGTGCTCAATCTCTGCACAGCAGTGAATTTCATTTGGGTTCATTTGAATGAGAAAGAGAAGAAAAGGTGGACTTCCACTTCTAGAAACCAACATAGTAGCAGATTTTCTAGCAGCACGAGAATAAGCACCAACAAATAGTCCCGAGGTTCTTCAAAAGAGATATGTCTGGAACAGGGGTCGGCAACCTTTCAGAAGTGGTGTGCCGAGTCTTTATTTATTCACTCTAATTTAAGATTTCGCGTGCCAGTAATACATTTTAACATTTTTAGAAGGTCTCTTTCTATAAGTCTATAATATATAACTGAACTATTGTGAAAAGCGACAAAGAGCCCTGTGGCACCTTATAGACTAACAAACGTATGGGAGCATGAGCTTTCGTGGGTGAATACCCACTTCATCAGACGCATGTCCAGACTAACACGGCTACCTCTCTGATACTAAACTATTGTGGTATGTAAAGTAAATAAGGTTTTTAAAATGTTTAAGAAGCTTCATTTAAAATTAAATTAAAATGCAGAGCTTCTCTCCCTCCCCCCCGACCGGTGGCCAGGACCCAGGCAGTGTGAGTGCCACTGAAAATCAGCTCATGTGCCACCTTTGGCACACGTGCCATAGGTTGCCTACCCCTGGTCTTGAATATAGTTGTGGATGTTTGTGGTTATACCAGTAACCTATGGACTACATTTTGATTTTAGACTCTGAGCATCACTCCAAGAGTAGCACTGGAAGGAAGACACATTATCACTGTCTCAGTTCTTCCACTGATCCCTTTTTGCTCTAGGGGAGTAGTAAATTACCATTGGCCTATACCAGCAGCAAACTGTGACATCACTGTGCCTACTTGGTTGTGCTAGCTAGTGAACAGGGGAAGAAAATGAAACCAAGGATCCAGCCTTGCCTTCCACACCCATCGCCTCCCCACTTACTCTGAAAGGGAGTAAGTATGTGCTGTATGCCCAGACCCAAAATTTGGATGGCCCATACAAGGGTGGAAAGCTGAGGAATTCTTACTTATTCTTCCGCCTTCACTCCCTTGTGTAGGCCCGGAGCCTAAGACCCAGTCTAGCGCTATATAAACATGTTTATAATGTCTGGCATGGGATTGGTTTAATAAATAAAAAATAAACCTTAACTTTGTTCCACATCACACACCCTGAGCTAAGTTCAGCTCTGGCGTAAGTAGCTGTAGAGGATGCTGCCATAGCAATAAGGCATTCTTGGCTTTGATTACCTCTGGGTTTTAGATTACTCACAGGATGGAATTAGTGCCAATATAAATCCACACCATGCTGGAACTCTTAAGTCCCCTGAAGAATTTTAAATCTCTTTATCTATTCTGTCACAACCTTTTAACTTTACACATCTTTATATTCAAGCTCCCATCTTTTCTGGAGTGCTTTGTATCTTGTGGTAATTAACTTTAAAGTTAACATTTTTTCACAGTATGGCATCAATAAATACATTTTGTCTCCTACTTTTCCCCATTACGAAAGCCCTAAAATACTTGGTCTTATCCCCAATCCAACGAAGCAGTTAAATATGTCCTTAGTTCTAAATATGTGTGTCATCCATTTGATTCCAATGGGATCCTCAGGGTATGTCTACACAGGGCTAAAAGCCCTGCAGCAGAGACATGACTGGCCCAGGTCAGCTGACTCGGGCTCATGGTGCTCGGGCTCTGAGGCCCTGCCAGGGTGGAAGATCCCAGAGCTCAGGCTGTAGTCCAAGCTCAAATGTCCAAGCACAACAATTTTTAGCCCTGAAGCCTTAGCTCCATGAGCCCAAGTCAGCTGGGCCAGCCGGGGCTTTTTTATCCGTGTAGCTGTACTGAATAGGGTTAAATTCAGGCATTTGCTAAAAGGCTTGGCTGGCCTGGGGCCTTAAGCACAGACTGATTAATGTTTATTTATTGCTTTGAATATGTACAATGCTATGTAAATGCTAATCATTCTTATTTCAGTGGACAAGAACTATTAATGATCCAGTCCATCTCCTTGCCACCATAGGCTCATTCCCTACATCTGTTAGAACATTCACCAGGCTAGTTTTGCAATTTATGACCAAAGAGGCTTCCCCCATTTCCCTAGGGAGACTATTCGACTGCCTAATATTTCTCACTGACAAGACATTCCCTGATATCCAGCTTAATCTCCCCCTTTCTTAATTTCATCCCATTATCCCACTGATACGGCTTCACACCAATTTTTCTACTGTGTACCTGAACTAAGCTATTCCCTTGCTTGATATTTTTTCACTATACAACAGAAAGTTTTGCAACATGGTATTTTCCATTTATTTTCAGAGAAATGTCAATATTCCTTATTCCTATGGAGATTCCAATAGGCATTTCACACTTAACAGTATTTCTGTCACATGTATAGGTGAGCTGTCATTACAGCCATGCCCCAACGAGAGATGTGCTTTAATATTAGACTGCAGTGGACTGACTTTCTTTGACTATACCGGAGTCTCTGTGCTTCTTCAGGTATTTATATACATTTTATACATACAAAACTGGAGCCAAAGCCATGTTCTCCTCACTCACGCAAGTAGATCCAATAGGATTCCTTGTGTGAGAAAGGTGGTCGTAGATTTGATATTTAAACTGACTAGTGTTTACATTGAAAATTAATGTTTAATGGTTTGGGGCCAGATCTTCTGCAATCGCTCCCCCAAGCCCCTTCTTTTTTCATCTAAAGCAGATTTAGGGCCAATATCAGACTGAAGTTAGTCACTTGCATTGACTTCAGTGGAGTGGCATATACTCACAAGAAGCCTAAACTTGGCCCTTAGACTTTTGGCTTTTATTTATGTGAAAATATACTTTCTAGCTAATCCATTGGAGTTAGGTTTTAGTGATCACTACATTTTGTTCACATCTGTGTTAGAACAGCACTGAGAACGGTGGAGTTCTGGCCCAGGAATGGGGCCCCTTTGTGCTACTACAGTAAAAATAATAAATCTAATGATAATAGTGATCATTCAGCTATATACCGTAGTTCGGAAATTACTTTCCAAAAGCTAATTCCTGTTGGTGCTGTTGGGATTGAATTTAGTGGAAGATATTTACTGGGTAACGACTAAATTAGGATGGCACAAGCTGGCCCTAAATAACTTTTGCTCTTTAGTCTGACCTGCCAATCCTTGATCCATCGAGTTCTGGTTGTAGCTTCCAAGCTGCCCAATTGTAATGTAGAATGGATACGGGTGGCTGTAGAACAGATCCAATTTCATGGAAATTTCCAAACGAGAATAAAGCTACTGAACATATAAATGAATAGCTGGATTAATCCTAAAAGGAAATGAAGGACTGTTCTTCTGTTGTATTTAACAGTGTCATGCCATACTGGGGAAATTACTGTACCAATAACTTTGTATTGTTTATATTATAGAATGGCTCCCTCTGGTGTCAGTTTTTGGTAAAACTTGAATCCATTACAGCATGTTCCTTGTTTTGTTTTGAATATCTAAATTATTTTGAGCATTTTATTCACAGTCAATGCCTCAAACAATTTTGTAAAATCTTTATTGTCGTCACTCCTTTAGATTTACATGGATTTTAAAAACAGAAGTATCGATGTGTTACTAGCACATTGTAAAGGCAAGTATCAGGCCACAGACAAATTTTAATAGTACTTTAAATGTTCACATTATCTTTTTAATGTTCATGTATGTGTCTTATCACAGCGTCCTTGGTAAAAGCAATGCAGTACAGTGGAAATCTAGGATCTGAAAATCCTATCTTCTTTGAATCTGTTTCCTCTGCAATTGGTGCCATTCATTTAAACAGGGTGAGTTTTAAAGCGGTGATAGATGACATCCAAAAGGTTCAAAGGCTTGGTTTGGGTGCTTATAAAAATTTGCTGCAGTGTGGAAGTCCCATACATCCAGTGAGTCCTTTGGACACAAACCTACCTTTCTACCCACTCTCCCCCACCAAACAACTCACTCCCATTATTAATATTTAATTTTTACAAATGACCACTGGCTGGTGTTCCAACCTCTAGACTTCAGTTATCTGATTCTCTCTTCACACCAGTCCCTCCCCTTTCTTTAGTGATGACTTATGGATCTTGGTAGCGTTTTGGCTTAGGTTCTGATGCCTCTATGCTCTGGTGCATAATACAGTCTAGGTTACACCAAAACAGAGTTACACAGGTGCTACTGAGTTCCTCAGCTTGAATTTAAAAGGATGGGGGGAAAAGATGAAAGGGGGAACTCTAGGGAAGGAAGGCATTTTGGTGAGAGTCTGCAGATGAGAGAACAGATGATTCTTGAAAGGCAGCAGAGAGAGCTATGTGGGTGCGTGAGGGAGGCTTGGTTCAGGAAACAAAGGTTGAAGCTTGAACCAGTTTTTATTTGGTAAAAAACAGTTTTTGTATTCCTTGTTAAAAGAAGTATAAAACCTGCTCTATGCTCCTAATGTAAACAGTAGAAACCTTTTTCGTTGTAATGCCTTTTTAACTGTGTACACTGTAAACAATGTGCTTTCCCATAGCTTGACTCAGCAATACAGAGATGGCAAGAAGTCTATTTAGAGCTCCCTCCAAGAAAGATTAAACTAGTCAAGGGTCTGAGTATTTCTCTGTTGCTATAAACAGGCACATTCTGCTACTTAGGTTATAAATGCCTCCTCTCTCTCCTCCACCAACAAAATCCCTCTTCATTGATCCACCCCATTAAGGTGCATTGGTGATATTAGTGTTGTGGATTACAGAATGAGAGAATTATGCCCAGTTCATTGTTTTCACACCATTTTATATTTAGGACTACAAGTCTTAGTGAAGTAGGGAACTGGGGGGCAAAAAATGATGGACCTCAATGTTGCTGACTGGGACAATTACTTGTTATTTTGTCAGGTTTTGCATTTAATAGGAGTGTTATAAGAACATAAGAATAGCTATACTGGGTCAGAACAATGGTCCATCTATCTCAGTATCCTGTCTTCTGGCAATGGTCAGTGCCACATGCTTCAGAGGTAATGAGCAGAACAGGGCAGTTATCGAGTGATCCATTCCCTGTTGTCCAGTCCCAGCTTCCGGCAGTCAGAGCCTTTGACAGGGTCCCTTAGCAAAGGTTCTTAAGCAGAGTAAGCTGTCATGGGATAAGAGGGAAGGTCCTCTCATGGATCAGGACTGGTTAAAAGATAGAGGGAAAAGGGTATGAATAAAAGGTCAGTTTTCACATTTGGGTCCACCAAGGATCTGCACTGGGACCAGTTCTGTTCAACATATTAATAAATGATCTGGAAAAAGGGGTAACAATGAGGTGGCAGAGTTTGCAGATGATATAAAATTACTGAAGATGTTTAAGTCCAAAGCTAACTAAGAAGAGTTACAAAGGAATCTTACAAAACTGCATGATTCGGCAACAAAATGGCAGATGAAATTCACTGTTGAAAAATGCAAAGTAATGTACATTGGAAAACATAATCCCAACAATACATACAAAATGATGGGATCTAAATTAGCTGTTACCACTCAAGAAAGAGATCTTGGGAATCTTGGGACAGTTCTCTGAAAACATCTGTTCAGTGTGCAGTGGCAGTCAAAAAAGCTAACAGAATGTTAGGAACTATTAGGAAATGGATAGATAAAACAGAATATATCATAATGCTACTATATACTCACACACCTTGATACTGCGTGCAGTTCTGTTTGCCCTATCTCAAAAAAGATATATATATTAGAATTGGAAAAAGTACAGAGAAGGGGAAAAATGATTAGGGGTATGGAGCAGAGGACAGATTAAAAGAGACTCTTCCTCTTAGAAAAGAGATGACTTGGGGGGATATGATAGAAGTCTATAAAATCATGACTGATATCGGAGAAAGTGAATGTGGAAGTGTTATTTACCTCTTCACATAACACAAGAACCAGGGGTCACCCAATTAAATTAATAGGCATCATGTGTAAAACAAATATAAAGAAGCACTTCACACAATTCACAGTCAACTGGTAGAACTCATTGGCAGGAGATGTTGTGAAGGCCAAAAGTATTCAGAAATCAGAAGGGTAGCCGTGTTAGTCTGGATCTGTAAAAGCAGCAAAGAGTCCTGTGGCACCTTATAGACTAACAGACGTATTGGACACCATCACAGGACCTAACCAGATCAGCCACACCATCACCGGTTCATTCATCTGCACGTCCACCAATGTAATATACGCCATCATATGCCAACAGTGCCCCTCTGCTATGTACATCGGCCAAACTGGACAGTCCCTACGTAAAAGGATAAATGGACACAAATCGGATATTAGGAATGGCAATATACAAAAACCTGTAGGAGAACACTTCAATCTCCCTGGACACACAATAGCAGATTTAAAGGTAGCCATCCTGCAGCAAAAAAACTTCAGGACCAGACTTCAAAGAGAGACTGCTGAGCTTCAGTTCATCTGCAAATTTGACACCATCAGCTCAGGATTAAACAAAGACGGTGAATGGCTAGCCAACTACAAAAGCAGTTTCTCTTCCCTTGGTTTTCACACCTCAACTGCTAGAAGAGGGCCTCATCCTCCCTGATTGAACTAACCTCGTTATCTCTAGCCTGACTCACTCTTGCTTGCATATTTATACCTGCCCCATGAAATTTCCACTACATGCATCCGACAAAGTGGGTATTCACCCATGAAAGCTCATGCTCCAATATGTCTGTTAGTCTATAAGGTGCCACAGGACTCTTTGCTGGGTTCAGAAAAGAATTAGAGAATTTCCTGGAGGATAGGTCCGTCAATGGCTTTTAGCCAAGATGGTCAGGGATGCAACCCCATGCTCTGAGTGTGTTAAGTTATAAAACATAATGCTTTGTACTTACAAAGCAACTTTCATCTGAGGCGCTCCAGATGCTTCAACATTAATTAACCCTCATAACACTCTTATGAGACAGATAGGGAGGTCAATTGACTTGTTCAAAGCCACAGAGGCAGTTGGTGGCAAGCTGGGAATAGAATCCTGATATCCAGTGCCACCCTCCTCTAGTGATGCTGCAAAATGCAAAAGCTTGTATGGGCCCCCAAAAACTTGGATCCTGGACCAAGTTCCCAATCTGAATTGATTTTTGTTATCTACCTCCACCACTATATCTGGGCTGCTCCTGACCACTCATTTGTCCTCCCTATAATAGGGATTATCTTCCTAAAGCGGCTGATAAAATTTGCCCAGATGTTCACCTTCTAGCTCCTCCCTTCTCCTGATCGCCTACTTACCATTCATTCGTTAGAATCCCACACACCCTATTGCTATCTGCTCCAACCAACCACTCCCTTCTCTACCGTGAGCCAGTTGCACTATGGCCATTAGAGTTACTGTTAAAAACTCAGTGTTTGCCAGATAGATCCTATGTAGTTACTACAGAGTTATTTCTTGTTTTGTGTAGGGGAAAACGGGTAGCTATTGGTATCTGTTGGCAAATGTGAACTTTTTAATGGCAACGATTGCATTTTGTAATATTTCCCACACTTAATTGTACTTCACAGTACATTGCATGCCTAGGAGCTACCCCGAGGTGTGTAAGATCACAGTGCAGCATTGTGGTATTCATCACAGTCAGCTATTCATCATGGCAGGAGGAAGGAAATAGGATGGAATACTTGGGGAAAGGGAGATAGGGTTGTAGAGCAACAGGAAGGACACATGCTGGGCAGATAGAAATGTTGAAAGGTAATAGATTAGATTGTGCCTTATGCATTAGTCAAGGAGTCTTCACCTTCCTTCCTCCAATCTTCCTGAGCAAGGAACAGGGCCAGTTAAAAATGGCCCAAACAAGCCAAGGAATTCTCAAAGGGCTTGGAAAAGGGTCAGGCACAATCTGTCCCTAAGATCCTCCAGAGTGTTGCAGCTCCACATACACACACCCCCAACTCAGGCCAGTGGCTAAATGTTACAGTTGGCCCATTATACTTAACTTGTGTGAAGGAATTTCAAACCTCAACTGAGAGCATTCAATTTACTGGAATTAGGTGTCTTGATATGTTCCTTGTTCTCATTACTCCTGGGGATGGGAGAAGATGGCAGAGAAGTAGTATGGGGGGAGGGGAGATGAGGAAGACACCACTGGTAATGGAGTAGAAGGAGCTCCTACTGATGGAAAGTATCTGTGGTGTTCTATTTTATGCTTGAGCCTCTGCAGGAGAGAATAGTCTTGCCCTGCTAGGGAGGTGGACAGACTGGCATAATGGTTACCTCCCACATCAAACTCTATCATTCTGAAATATCAAGGCTCTTCCACATATATCTGGTTTCCAGTGGTAACGTCATACTGTCTGAATTTCATTAATGATGCCAACAGGCTTGTGGCTTATCCGTTGTTTTGTTTATAACGAGGATGAGCTGGATAGCCTTTGGATTTATCTCTCTTTGCAGTGCTCGATGTAGATTTTTAAATTAGGTACTTGCTTTCCTACTGTTTCAAGTGCTATGCACTCACAATGTGGATGATAATTTGGTAATACATGATAATAAGGTGAACCTTTCTGTTTCTTCAATTTTAGAATTTCAGCAAACTCAGTGATCACAGTGAAGTGTGAAGTCTACATGACGCAGGCTGGCTATTTTGATCTGCTAACATACAGAATGAACTACGGCATTGCTTTTCCTTACATCTTTTTTCATGAGATCACGTAGGTAGTATTTTGTATGCCAAATATGTTTAATAGACATCAGTGCTGCCAAAGATTTCTCTTCAGCTACCGCTGCTGAGAGAGTGTTCATACAATGGATTGTTCTATTGTGGATATATATATATAGTATTTTTGTACACGTTTAGATACAAAATATTAGAAAGCAGACATGGGATATCAACATTTTATTACAGTGATTTATATTGTTTTAGCTCATTCTATAGTAACTTAATTTGTAACACACAACTATAGTTTTGTGCATGGAAGAGTAAGACATTATGAACTTTTGCAAATGATCTGTAGTGACTGGTGCAGTATATGCAGCATACCATATACAAAACCCAAATTTGTTTCGAATATCTGCTTTAATCCTTTTCTTCTTAAAACCAAACACATGCAATAGCAACATCATATTGTATAACCCTGTGCACTTAACCCAGTCCTGCATTTCTTGCACACTTAATCCTTGTATACTATTTAATGCCCAATGGGAGTTTTGGGTGTGCAAAGAATATACTGGCTTAGTACATGTTATCATGTCTCCCTCCAAAGACCGGTGCCAGTGACTATTACAGCTTGCTGTTTTGTTAAACCAGAGGAGTTCGTTAGTTCAAGTGTAAGAAGAGGCTTTTACTTTTGGTTCTAAAGGTCCCAGGTTTGATCCTCACTGATGCGTGTGGAGTCTGCATACGTATGTGACTCTGGCTCAAAACACAATCTCAGGCCCAAGAATATTATGGGCCACACTCTCAATTTGTATAAATCCACATAGCTCCATTGACTTTAATGGAACTGCACAAATTTACACCACTTGAGGATCTAGCCAAAACATCATAGCATGGAACAGATTTTCAAAAATAGGCCTAAAATTGCACATGCAGGACATATATTTTAGTGGGCAAATGAGCAATTATCCACTATGCAGGTGGGATAATGATGTGTTCAGCTGCCCAGTTGCACATGTAAAGGTGGGTCTTGTACATAGAAGCAGATGCATGAACATTTTTGGGACAGCAATTTGAAAGTTTGGCTTTGTAAATTCTGGGTCAGATTTACCAGAGTAAATCAGTGTGTGCTGGAGTGGGGCAGTGTACAGCGTAATCTGTCCCTCTGTAAAATTGAGAAATTGGCCTAATTTATTATTAACCTTCTGATTAAAAAATGAAGTGATTACTAGAGTGCACTGATAGCTATGTGTTATCTAGTTCCTTCTTTCTAAAGGTAAATGTTAGTGTCATTAAATTAAGTCCCCAAAGCATTGCAAAATAAGGCAAGATGACTCTTTGTAGCTAGTCTGAGGTACCTTCAATGCTTTATTTACACTTTACTGATTTGCTGTTTAGTCAGAAGTACTGAAGTCTCTCCCAAGAGATTATTGGTTCCATATCACAGAGACAGCACCCACTATTTAATTTTCAGGTAGTTCATTTATATTGTAATGTGCTGGATAGTGTGTATGTATACGATTGCTCCTTTACTGGATGGAATCACAGCTGCTCCACTGTTTGTTATTGGTGCTAACCTGTTAACCGTTAAAGGAAATTCTCTTTTAGTTCAAGTGCTACTGCTTGTTAGGATCTGTCCTTCTGGACCAGAATCATCTGAGTTCTCTCTCCATGTTCCAAATGGCTATGATACGCAGCATAGTGACAACCAGGGGAAGCGGGGAAGGAGAAGGGAAGAAGAGGGCAACAGGTATGGATGGTCACAGGACCTCAAGGGGTAGACATCTCATGTCGAGGGAAAGGTAGCCCCATTGGGGGACTAGTCACTCAAACCTCAGAAGAGGCACACGAAAAGGTTTATGAACCTGTCAGAGAACTAGGTTTGAGATTTGTGCTGGCTCTGAGTTTCATCACAAAAGGTTTGAGATTTTAACATAATTTTTCATCAAATTTTTAAAATTTACTTTAAAAACGGGGAAAACGACAACATTTTTGCCAGAATGGTTTCTTGTTTCAATCAGCCCAAAGTTGCTCTACTAGTTTGAGGTCTGACTTGAGTTTCATTAAAATTTGCAATATGTTATAGATTGTTGTAAGCAGCTGTGACAGTCAAGACCATAACACACAAGTCACATTACAACTGAAAACAATGTGCAATACAGAATAAGATTATTCCAAAAACATTTACAACATACAGTGCTGCTATGTATTTATGTATCTGTGATACACACAGAATGAAAGACAAATGTGCTTATGTAAAAGGGTCCAAGAAACCACAGTTCAAATATGTATCTTGAAATATGTTGGATAATGCTGTTTACGGTTATAGGTATCGTGTGGTATTTGTTGATCTGTGAAACAACTGCAGTAAAATGTGAGGGTCCAGTAAGTTATATAGCCCAGCATGAGCCTACTTAAAAAACAGAAAGCAAGAGGAAATGGGAGAGCATATATTCCCCACAACACTCTCCCAGCCTCACTCTGAGCTGTGGATTCCTTCCCCCACCGACTTAAAGGGATAGGGAGGGTGAAAGGAAAGTGAGCAGGACACATGACTTCTAAGAGTCATTTTGGCAAAGCAGAGAGAATGGTAGTGTCAGGCTGCCCTGTTCAGATGGAAGGAAACAGGCAAGATCAAAGTCCAGGCAGCCAGTTCCTGGCAGCAGAGTCTGGCTAGACTTTCCCTGCTACACCAATCCCAACCAGTTATCTCCAGCAGATGTGTGTATTGCAGGAGGCTAGGGAATATCACTGGTTCTTGACCCTCTGCATGTCTATGCCATGGATGGCTTTTCCCTCATGTTTGTTCTGTCCCTTCACCTGATTAATAAAGATTTTGGGGAATGGAGGTGTATAATTCTGTATTTCACAGGATGTAGGAGAATCCTAGAGTTGTTTCCCTCACTGCCTTGCAGATGCTCAGAAGTTTCTTAGTCAGACTTTGTTATGGTTGCATTTATAAATGGTTTGTAAAGGGTTGATTAATAAATGTTAAAAGCATGTTACAGGCATGGATAGTATGCTCTACAGGTAGTTGTAAGATCAGTGTTCTAGATGGTTGCAAGCAACATGTTGCCTTGTTGAACTCTATAACAGTCTGTAACAATTGATTAATCATTTGCTAAAACAGCTATTAATAATTTATTAACCCTTTGTAAACTATTATTAAATGTACCCTTAATTGTGGAAGCACCACTTGAAGTTCTATAGTTAAGTTTTGCACATAAGCAAGAGGTTGATCCCCTTCTTTATCTATGAAAGATGCAGCATCTCCTCCCCAAAACTACAGCATTTACTCTACTACAGAGTGCATTTTCTGATAACTTTAAAATAAATCGATTAATGAGTTTAACTTAGAAGATAATTAAAAAAGAGGGTTATTTAAGAAATTCAGCACTCGGCATCAGAACATTTTTTGTGTTGAAGTACCTTAATAATGGAACAAAAAATGTGCCTCAAACTTCCCTTATTGTTAAAACTCACTGAAATTTTCTGCATAAGCTTCATTTGAAAACATTTGGTAGGATTAATGGTCATTTCTCCTTGTTATTCTTCATAACTAAAAGATCCTCTTACAACAGGTGCTAATGAATAACATTCTACTACAGAGAATTCAACACAGAACTACCCTCTTTCAAAATAGTTTCCATTTCATTATTTTCAGTGAGACTAAGGTAATGCCTTAGTGTATGCAGTCTTGTTGTAGCTGTGTTGGTCCCAGGATATTAGAGAGACAATGTGAGTGAGGTAATTCCTTTATTGGACCAACTTCTGTTGGTGAAAGAAAAGCTTTTGAGCTACACAGAGCTCTTCTTCAAGTCTGGGAAAGATACCCAGAGGGTATGTCACTGTAGTTAGACACCTGCAGCTGGCCCATACCAGATGATTTGGGCTCGTGGGGCTTGGGCTAAGGGGCTGTTAATTGCAGTGTAGACGTTTGGGCTTGGGCTGCAACCCATGCTCTGGGATCCTTAACCCAAGCTCACAACCCTGAGTCAGCTGGCATGGGCCAGCCGCAGGGTTTTAATTGCTGTGTAGACATGCCCAGAGTGTCAGAGCTAAATACAAGATTGAACAGATAGCTTAACATAAGTGATTTGCACATATTTTAAGGGACCATTCAAGGTAAAGTGGCCCATTAGCACCCCTGTAGTCATAGGATATAAAGGGGATTAGTGGGTTACACATTGTTGTAATAAGCCATAAATCCAGTGCCTTTATTAAGACCATGATTTTTAATGTCTAGCAAAGTTATGAATTTAGGCTCCCAGCTCATCTTTTGAAAGTGTTGTGCAGGTTTCCTTTGAGGATGAGGACTGATAGGTCATGTATTGAGTGATCACTTTGTGAAAAATGTTCACCCACAGGTGATGGGGTGTTTTCGTCTTTTATCATTTGTCTTTTAACAACTATGACCCACATTCAATGGGGACCTCATCCTGAAGGAAATCTTTCTTGAACCCCCCTCTTCTGGCCTGCAAACAACCCCCCTAACCTCTCCAAGCTCATCATCAGAAGTAAGCTGCCCACAGACCAGGACACATCAACTCAAAGTGGTGCCAAACCTTGCCAGAACAACAGATGCAAAACCTGCAGGCATATCTCCACTGCTACAATGATCAACACACCTTTTAGGATTCAGGGGTTCTACACGTGCATATCACAACATGGTGTACCTCAACCAGTGCCCTAAAAACCCTAATAACAACTGTGTAGGTGAAACCAGACAATCACTACTCTCTTGAATGAACTCACACAGAAAATGATAAAAGACAAAAACACCATATCACATGTAGGTGAACACTTTTCACAAAGTGATAACTCTGTGTCTGACATATCAGTCCTCATCCTCAAAGGAAACCTGCACAACACTTTCCTTTATTATAGATTATCTCTGTCTTCCCTAAGGCCAGCTGGCAGGATGCAGCAGAACTGAGACATAAGTGCTCATAAACTTCAGTACAAGACTGCAAACTAGCTTCCCCAAAGTTATTCAGCTGAAATTCACCCCTATTCAGAGGGTCAATACAAAGTCTATACACTATTTACTAACTTTTAGTGGTCTATTGGCCTTGTGCTGGCCCACTGCACATGGGTGAATTTCATCCAGTAGAATGAAGGGACTTAGTTATTGTGCCTATTGAGCCAGACAGTCACTTTTCCATATTCTAGCCTTATCTGAACACCCCTGAAACACCTGGGGACCTGCCACTGTATTAAGTAATAGGGTTTTTAGATAAGTGAGGTTTGGATAAATGAGTTTGTCCTGCAGTCTCAGTGAAGACATTATCCTGTGAGGTGCTGAATTCCCTCAATACCCATTCAAAGGCATTTCAAAGGGGGCTGGGGTCAACAGGCTAGGAGAATCATAGAATCATAGAATAT